TGACATACACTGTTGCTCTGAATAAGCCACTGGAGCTGCAGTCTGAACAGCTTTTCTGGCTGCAGCAAAGTCATTTGTAAAGGTTACCACCTGCAGTCCAACCTGCAGCTGTTCTTCACTGCTATCATAACTGCATGTGTGCTCTCTGCCTGTGCCTCTTTTGTCAACATGATCCTGTGGTTTTTCAGGGACTTTTAAAAACTTGTTGTCAGAGATAAAACAAAAATTACTTGCTTTAACCACATTTATTCCTGACATCATATGCCAGCTGTGAGCATGAGAGAGAAGAATTAATATAAAGGCCTTTTTAAGATAAAGAGACATCCTACAACAATCTTGATGGCTTGTCTGTGTGGAAATAACATTGCATACCAGGTGTTCTCTAAGCAGAACACAGTAATTTAAAGGCCAAATTGACCCTTTGTGACCTGTGTGATATGTAGTGCTGGTGCACATGTTCTTCTGTGCAGCTGATGTGTTTCAGAAGAAGCAAGTAAGTTCAGATCTGCAGAGACTTACCTACTAATATAGAAGTCCAGCTTCTCCCTGATGCTCCAACAAACAGATCTGCTTTGAATCATAAAGCATCTGATAACTTGCTTTAAATCTACTATACTCAGGCAGAGACCATGTGCAGGTATTGTAACTCTGATTCTTCATTTTCATCTATGAAGAACTTGATGTCCTTGGACTGCTTGATCTTACAGGGAGGAGGAAGATGACAGATGGAGAACTATTTGTTTACTCACTTAAATACCAACACGTTCTTATTTTAGACCAGAAGCTGTTCAAGACAATGATGGTTGTGCATTATGGCTGTCTCTACTGTTATTTTAGTGTAGGGCTTCAGTTTACCCAAAGCTTTGGACCCTTAGTTTTCTCTGCTACCAACAAAAAAGTAGACTTTCTGCCTCAGAAAACTTCAGAAAGAGTCAAATGGCCGTTCAGTAAAGGAAGCTAAAATGGAAAGTACTGTCTCATTCCAACAGTGACACTAGAAGCAGTACAGGTGCCACTGTGCCTATATTAAACCTCCACTCTTCTTGTTAGTGGAGATGTAGGCTATATAATAATGCATTACATGTTTGCAGCTCCTAGGTGGATCAGTATTGCTGCTTTTCAAAGCAAGGAGTTAGGAGGCAGTGTAAATCAGAGTTGTGAGTGGTTCTTACTAGGTGATAATGAAATGCTGCTGCTTGCAAATGCACAGAAAATATAGCATCCACTTTCTGGGAAAAAAAAGGTGCAATTTATGTGGCTTTCTTCAGGCACTTCTGGACATAAATCTGCTTCTTTCTAGCCTTCGACAGCAGAAGGAAATGCTTTGAAAATGATTTAAAAGGCTTCATGCTATTGTGACTCACCTTAATCAGTATCTGAAGGTGCAGTGTGCCTCTCTTAGATTTCAAAGCTGTTTAGAACAGGAATTTAGTCTTGTTTACATGCAAATAGAATGAATATAATGAGCTTTTATACAGCCTTCCATGGATATTCACTCTTTTTGAGTAGGACAAAGGCAGTTGCAACCAACATTCAGTCTAAAAAAAAAACTTTCTGACAGATTTGTATTGAATGATTGAGAACGCTACCTAGGAAAGAGGTGCAGTTATGCCCATGCCCTCCCCTCTTACAGTTTTTGTGCTGTCCCTTGGTGACATTTTTTGAATGAAACCTCTGTCTACTGCTCCTTCTGTTTTGTTGTGAACTTTGAAATATCTGTGGAATTTATTTGAAATAGTTGAGCTGGTTTAAATGTTGTTTGGATGTGGAGTAACAGGGGAAACTCAAAAGTATATACATAAGCAAAGAGAATGCATCTTTTTTTCCCTAAGGAAATGAGGCTAAGAGTATGTTACAAGAAGATCTTAGTGCTATGTTAAAAAGGGAGTTGTCCTGAAATATGCCCAGTTTCCCTTGTGTGTATATTGGCTAGATTCTTGGAGAGTGTAAATCCAGAGATATTCAGTGGAGAGACAGTTGCTGGAGCATGCTTTAGAGACAGTGACAAATTCAAATGTGTGGACCCAAAGGAAGAGTTAAACCCCATTTGTGCACAGAAGTCAGGAGAAGCAAAGCCCTTCTCTGTTTTTGTACCTCACCTCCTCTTAGCAGATGTAAAGGGACCTTGTGACTGTCAAAGCTGTGGGGGGCCCTGAGCCTGTGATCTCAGTGTACTCAACTGTTCTGTCCTAGCACTTGACTCCCTTAGGACACACCAGGTCTTAGGTTTCATGCTTGGAGTCTCTGCAGTCTCTAAGCAGAGAGGTCACTTTGCTACACAATGGGTATTGCCAAAATCACAGCCATGCCAAATGTGAAGCATGATGTCAAATGTGGAGCAGGTGGGCTGGGAGTTCGTAGGGCTGTCTTTCATCAGTGACAATGTGTGAGCTCTTTCCAAAGCATTCACATGTTGTCTTGACACATCCATTACTGGTGCATTAACTGAGTGTGGCTGAAAATAGGCAAGCTCAAAGGGCCAGATTTGTGAGAGAACCAGGAGATACATCAGGATTTTGTCCGGGGCCACATTTCAGAATTGGCTGGAGAGGACCTTATGCTTCACTGACAGAGTTCAGGAAGGAGATAAGATTTTCTAAGGATGGATAGAACATAGTTCAAGGGAGGTCTGGGCTCTGGTGCACCAGTGGCACCAGATCTAATCTCTGCCATGATCCAACTCTCCCTACTCTGTGCTCAGCTGCACATTTCTGTCTCTTTTTGCATTTTTCTGGCAACTATAAACTTTGCACTGAGCTTGTTCACAGTGTTGACCAGACAGAAATTGTGAGCTTATGTAGCAAGCTGGAAGGAACAGCAGAGACCCCAACAGAGGAAATACCTAAAGGGAGCCTATAAACAGGAGGGGTAGATAGTTTGAAAGAGTAGATAACAGCAGGGCAAGGGGAAATGGTTTTAAGATGAAGGAGGGAAGATTTAGGTTAGATGTCAGGGGGAAGTTCTTTAAAGAGAGAGTAGTGAGGTGCTGGAACAGGGTGCCCAGAAAGGCTGTGGATGCCCCATCCCTGAAGGTGTTCAAGGCCAGGTTGGATGGGGCCCTGGGCAGCCTGGTGTGGTATTAAATGGAAAGGTTGGTGGCCCTGCCTGTGGCAGGGTGGTTGGAGATTCACGATCCTTAGTCCCTTCTAACCTGGGCCATTCTGTGAATACAAGAACAGGGAGGAATCGGACCATAGAAATGCATCTTCCAGTACTTTGATTACATTTGGCTTTCAGAGGACCAGATCCAGCACTCATCTGACAAGATACAGGAAGGAGATCTGCATTATTGCCAAGGTTGCTGTGTACTGTGACTCTTGCCACTGCCATCACAGATAACTGTTCCAACTTCATGTTGTAGCATATGACGAATTCCCTTGTGTCAGCTGAAGACTGGAATGAGGAACTGATGCTGCTTCAAAGAAAAGTACATATTTCTGAATTAGCTTTCATTGTATCTATTCACTGATCTGTTCACCAACATGTTTGTGTGACCAATTAGACTGGATCAACTGGCAGAACAGTGTGCTAATTTAGGTGAGAATGGGTATTAAGGAAAGTTAACTGAAGAAATAAAACAGGCAGTAATAGCCAGTGATTAATTGATGCTTTGCTAAATGCTGCTTAGTATCATCTCATAAAGGCAGTGTCCCTTTAAAAAATAGAGCAGTGCAGCCAAATACTAGAGATTTTTCTTGGCAGAAGCTCCTTGCTCAGAAGCTTGATCAGACATTTGTTGGTAATTGCTGTACTGCTCAGGACATGTGGTAGGAGGCTTTTTGTGTTGAAAACATCCAACTTTCTCACCATGCCTTGCTGTGTTGTAGTGTGCTTATGCTGCAGGCAACTGGAAGAAAAGGCTTGAAAGAGGAAACCTTCATAAGCACAATGCATAGAGGTCAGTGCCATCAGCACAAAATCCCCGTCTCCTTGACAGCTACCTTTGCAGCTCTGGATGCTTGAAGCTGCACCACACCAAGTGCCTGAGCTACTGAGTGGCAAACAACTTTTGAAGCAGTGCATCTATCCTTATTGAGGGGCTGATCTTCCTCTGAGATGTAATGCACTTAGAGCATACAGCTCCCTTCTGCAATGTACTGTTCTCTATCCTAATAGCATTTCAGCTTTTGACTCTACTCCCTTTCTTCTTACAATTTTGCTGTTGTAAAAGCCTCAACTTCCTCCTCTTTTCCAGCTAATGTATTTGTCTAAGTTTATCAATGGACAGTTTATCTCTTTTTGTTCTTCCACGTATTTTGATAGTTAAAACAAAAAACTCTTACCCTTTCCTGGCTGTACCTGCTGGCTCCCTGACAGCAGTTTCTTGCAGCTAGCCTCTGTAGATGAGATGCTCAGTACCATTTAATCAGATTACATGAACTTGGGCAGCCTGCACTGCTAGAGGGTGGTTTGCCCTGCTGTATAAAATGGCAAAGTATGATGTTGAACCTTGTATGGTAACTGCTGAGTCATGGCCTGAACCACTGATTGAGCACCTGGGGAAAGGAGTGGCCAGTCATGGGAGCACAGGTGAAAGTACTTAAGCTGAGTGACTGCAAGGGGTGGGGTCTGGCTGCACCTCTGTTAGACATCATTTAAGGGCTGACTGCCACTGGGGAAGTATCCCTGGTTAGAGATCCCTACATTGTGGTGTTTTCCCTGAGAGCCTAGTTCTTCAGAGATGGGTGGGCACTTTTCCTTTATAATGTCTTTCCTTTGTAATGTCTTTCCATTTGCACCAGTGCCTTTGTTATTACACCTCCTGTATCACCATTCCACTGCATTGATCTGATTGTTACAAGCCTGCTGTTTTCTTGTTACATGCAATCATTATTAGGTTATTATAATATATATAATCATTATTGGTGCTTATTAGGGTGCCAAATTTGTATAGAGACACATGCCCCATTCTGATCTTCTGGCCTTCCTCTTGGTTTCACCTAGACCAACGGATGCTGAGAGGGAGACAGAGAAACAAAATTGCCGTGTGAGATTAAAGAGCGAGATGGGAGACCCTGGATAATATCTGAGTTTCTTTGAAGTGAAGGCTGCATAGATCAGGCAAAGTCTAATTGAACTAAAGGCACTCTTTTTTGAAGTAGATATACTTTTCCCCTGGCTAAGCAATTTCCTGGTTGAGGTTTTTATCACTTTCCAGCACCTGCTTGCTTCAGAGGGCGACACTTCAGGGATTACACTGAGGAAGTGCCAAGAGCCAGCATTTCTCACTCCCCTCTTGCCCGCCTCCGCCCCCTGCACTGCTGCACACACACACCCCAATATAGAATGACAGCACGCTGCCACAGTTTAAATGACACTGCCTCTGCCTCTTCAGAAGGACGGGTCCTTCAGAGAGCACCAGCCACAACAGCTGCCTAAACTTGTGAAAAACATCATCATGGCATATAAAGCAGCACATCTGGCTTTTAAGTCGCGCTGGCACAAGACAGATGAAGAACTCTGTCGCCACAGCATGTCATTTGACTTGCATAAGGCAATCCAGAATGACTTCTTTCAGTGTTACCTTTATCTGCTGGAAACTCTTCCCCTGGGTGAGTAACTGGTGGGCAGGAGTGTTTGAGTGTGCTTTGCCATGCTCTGGAGGGGCATGTTATATTAGATAGCTGGGTGCAGCACTCGTGACAATAAATAGTGGCTTTGAGAAGCCCTGCTTTGAGAGATTACAGTCTAGCTAAACCATTTGTTACTCTCTCAGCTCCCTCTAATTTAGTATCCTGTTTTATTTTTCTACCTAAATACTCCATAGATTGGTGGGGGAAGGGAGGGCATGGGAAAGACCTCAGGAGCTGAAGGAAGTTTGATTTTAGGGTGATGATACTTTCACCTTTAAATAAAACATGAATTGACCTACTCAGAACTTGGAAGGACAAATTGAAAAGTCGCAGAGCTGTCAGGCCTTACTTTCTGTTGTCTGATACTTGTCCTCAGCTTTGTGTTATGCATTGCTGTGGACAAATGCTTGAAAAGTAATTTTTATTTTTTATCAAAAGTCCCTGTAATCCAGATCTGTGCAGCAGGCTGTCCAGACCAGTGTTTGTTATCTGGGAGGAAAGTGCTTCCAAAATATTTCTTTATAGCCAAATATGTATGAAAGGTACAGGATGCCAGAGTATTTTATGTGCGGAAAAGGAATGTTAATTTCTCTTGAAAATTTCACCCTAAGAACCAGGTTTGGTTTTTTTTTCCTAGGACAGGATACCTAGAAAGTACATTTTACTTGAATCGTTGTTACTTTTTAAGCAGAAGTATTCAGCCTCAGTGTTAGAACTGTAGGAATTTAAGAAGGCTGTGTGTGTCTGACCTGCTAAACTGTGCTTCTTGAGGGGTCCTTCCTGACTGAAAGATCCATGTGGGTAGGTGGGTTACCTTAACTGATTCTGTGAGATTGTACAGACACCAGTAAGTACCTGCTCAGGATGCTAGAATTCATGAGTCTGTAGAGAGAGAAAGTATTTCCATGTTTTCTTAGTATTTTGATGTGGCTTTTCACATATATGGTGATATCTGTAGCTATCTAAAATGAAACATGCAAGGTAAATACTCCTGTCCCTAGTGGTAGGTAGCTGGGAATGGTGGAACTAAAGGAAAAATGGAAAGGAAGGGAAGTTAATTATAGGTCAATGTAATCTCAAGAAGTTGATGACAATGTTATTCTTTCATTTATTTTGAAAGTAAACACAACATATTAAGAACTGAGCAGGATTTCCTACAATGTGACTGTTAGTGTAAGTACTGGTAGAACATTTTACAGCTAGAAGGTACTGTTATGAATATCTAGCTTAAAATTTCACATAAAGGTTTCTAGATCGTGCCTGTAATTTATGATTGAGTCACAGTATTTATTTATGAAGACAAAAATAACTTGGCTTAAAGGCTTCAAATGACTGAGAACTCATCAGTATGTAATTAAGCTGTTTCCAGGTCTAATTGCTTCACTCTCTTAAAACCGTATTTTATTTCTTGTCTGAATTTTATTTGAATTTCCACTCTCAGCCAACAAACTCTCTAAAATGTTTACCTGTCAGACTAAAGTGTCCCTCTGCCAGATTTTTAATGCTCTGAGTCATTATTACAACTCTCAAATTTTCCATTTCGTTGCCAGTGTATCCAAATCAGTTAGACCCCAAGGAAGAGGTACTGTGAGTCCAGCCTACATGTGAACATGCAGTTTATTCATTATGCCATGGTAACTGTCATGGAGTAAAAGGGTGCATAAGGACAGGCACTGGGAGGTAGCTGATGTGCTGTGGAGACACATCTGAGAATCCTCACAGCATGTATGTCATGGTGTGGATGGGTGGACAACCAGATGGGTAACAACAGTTGGGTCACTGTGCTTAGAAAGTCGGGGTTAATGTGTTGTACTTGGTCTTGAGATGGTGTTCACAGGCAGCTGTCCTGTTTAACATCTTTATCAGTGATTTGAAGAGCCAAGCTCTTCACTATGGTCAGATGACAAGAGACAGTGGATATACATTCAAATTGGAGATGTTCAGAGTAACTGTAAGGGAAAACTTGTGTTTGTGGATTGTCAGGGCATTGGAAAGGTTGCCTGGGGAGGCTGTTCTGCATTGCTGCAAGCTTTCAAAACTGACTTGAATAAAGTCCAGAGGAACCTCATTTCTGTCCCTGTTGTGAGCAGTTTGAACCAGCAACCTCCTTAGGTGCCTTCCTATCTGGACTATTCTGTGTTCCTGCACTCTGTGATGTGGAGCTGAGCAAATGTGGCGAGTCCAAACATATCTGCAGAATGGCATTTTCAAGTTCGGTTCAGAGTGGAACTGAGCAGAAATTAACTGTATTTCAAGATGAGATCCAGAGATCTCTTACACAGAATTAACAGTGTTAAACCACTAAAACAACACTAAGGCTGTGACCTAGCAGAGCGCTTTACAGGATGCTTAACCCTAAGCGTGATTAACACTGAAATCGGGCCTCACGTTGAAACTTTTGCTGCAGTCCAGGATCAGCAAGGTACAGAACTTTCTTCAAGCTATGCTAACTCCACAATCCCCTCACCCTCCTTTCCTAGGTTCACTGGTGGGAGCACTTAAGCAAGTTTACCTATGAGCTGATCATATTTGGTATCACGGCCTAAGAGAATCATGTCACCCCAGCCTGTAAAAATTACATTTATAAATAAAAGGCATTTTATTTAGGCCCAGATTCAAGTGTACTCAAATGTGTATGAATGCCTCTAAGCCCAGTGGACTTTAACAGAGCTACTCAGATACTGGAAATTATGCATGTGGTTCCAGGGGCTGAGGGACTTGGTGCCAGGAGGGTGAGATCTGCGGTGAAAGACTCCGATGATTAGTCCAAAGAGCCAAATATTTCAATATGTGAGGCACATGTCTGTAAATGAAGCCTGCTTTGGGGGTGTGCTGATGTTCAGCCTCTATAAAGCAGTTCTCAGACCACAGCAGAGAGGTGAATCTTGCTCTGCACCCAGATAACCATTTTTCAACTGATGCGCAAAGCAGATGTTGCATTTGAAAGGGATGCTTAGCCAAAATGGAATTAGTTCAATATCTCGCAGAAAGCAGTTGGAGCCACAAAATAATGTTCACAAATAAAAACTTCAAAAAAATTATTTGCAACATTTATTTCTGCCAGGGAGATTTAGCTGAGCAAGCTGTGCAACCAAGAACTGTAAAATAGTCTGCTGCAGGTTGGGACTGTGACTGATCCATGTATTAAGGATCCCATTGCCTTAGAGATTTAGATCAGATGCAGCAAAACAAAATCTTGAGCTGATACTTAAAAAAAAAAAAAATTTTGGACTTGGGGGGGAAGAAGGACCTAAGTGGATGTTCTGTGTCTAGTCTGAGGGATGGCATTCAGCTCTTTTTTGGCATTCAGACTGTTTGCTGTGACTGAATACTGCTAACACCTCCTGACTGGGGGTGACCTTTAGGGAGGCAGTGTCTGCTCAGCCTGCTTTGCCAGTGGGCTCACTTTAGCCTTTGCTGCTTGGGGGTCTTGCCAGCAGGTTCACCATGATAGAATGTTTCTGCTTGCTTGTTTTTTTTGAAACACGTTTCTAACCTGAAATATTACAGGTCACCTAACTTAACACTGAAAATCTTGTCTGTGAAAGCTGCCCCCCAGTCTCTGTGAGACTTACAGCTCTGTTATCCTATCCTGTCCTGTCTATGCCCTGCTTTGCAAAGTACATTGAAATCAGGCTGTGTATCAGTAACAGACCTCACAAGTATTTAATTTCCTGATGCAGGAGATAGTCCCACATGGATCGTGGATTGGGAAGATGCCTCTGGCTAGACAGGTCCTGTGATGAGGGGCAGGCACGCTAGAGCAGAGCTGCAACAGTAACTGCCACCAAGGACGTGTGATTCCTCACACTTCTCTTTTGTGGTAGATTCCTGCAAGCTGGCAAACCTCCTGCTCCCTCTGGTCGTGCTGCTGGAGCCTGCATGCCAGGCACAGCTGCAAGGCAGATCAGAGGTGAGCTTGATTGGTTGTGTCTGGAAAATTGGGCTGTGGGTTGGGAGAGTTGGCAGTGTTGCAAATTCAGGAGACGGAGGAGAAATACTTGAGGAAGCAAGAGGTGGAAATCTATAGATCATGTACTGTGTGCCTGAGACTCTGTCACTGTGACAGGCTTTGGGTACAGGCCTGTGTCCTTGCATGCCCTCAGGTGAGGCACTTGCACAAAAAAATCTTTGCATGGTTTGGGTAAAGAAACTGCTCAAGTGTTCAGAGTAGAGCTGGTTTCAAATGCCAGCATGTTAGGCAGGGCTGTGGGGCCCCAGCTGGCCAGGGAGGAGCTGAAGTCAGCTGGTGTGTGCATGCAAATCCCTGCAGGCATCCTGTGAGTCTGATCCAGGTTCTGAGTGAGAAATCTGAGAGCACATGCCACAGATCTGATATCCTGAACAGCAGCATATCGTCTCCATGTGTTGCCTTAGGTTCAGCTCATGCATTGAGTAGATAGACCCTAAATATTTGTTGTTTGTGCTGCCAGCTGCCTGCAACACCCTGTCCTAGTGTGCAGACATCCTGTAATGCCTTTCTGTCCCCTGGTAGTTCCATTAAACAAACCCTAGAAATGATTGCTGGGCTCTCATAAAGATGAGCTTGTAAAGCAAGCATCCAGAGATTCAGTTCTGTTCACCAGACTGGCATCTGAAATGGAGAAAAGAGACCTGGAGAAAATAAGCTGGTGCCACTCCCAGGGGAGGATGGAGATCATTTACTGGAAGAATCTCCACTGCCAATGGAGTCTTTATTTCCCAGGCTCCAGGAGCCTCCCTGGCCAAGTTGCACAGTGGATTGGCTCCTACCTCCTTCATATTAATTTCTTCAGCTAAATGGTTTCTTCTGAGTATGTGAATATAATCAGTGGAGTGTGTAAAACTCCCAGGTTTTGACCCTTGCTGGGCTCAGTGCTTCTTGTGGTATAAATTTCTCAGGCATAACATAAATGTGTAATGGATTAAAGCTTTAATAGTATCCGTTCGGCAGTTGACTTAAGCAGGTGATGACAAGAGGGGCTGGTAATGCTGCTTTTGTTGGATGAAGGATATGCCGGGCATGCTGCTGATGTGTAACCCAATAGCACTATTCTGTTCCGAGTGGTCCTTGGTGGTAATTATTCCCCATCCTACTTCCTTTGTCCCCTCTCATTTGCCGCCAAAATGTCATTCTCCTGCTGGGGATGGGCAGGCATACACTTATCATTCCCTGCTGAGCTTGCTTGCCTTCCATAAATACATTCCAGGCTTATGTTCAGGTCCCTGGCCTAACTCTCATCGTGCGCATGGAGGGCATAATTCCTTTTCTGCAGGCAGTGTGAGCAAGGCATGGCATTGTTAGACCCTTGCCAGCAGTGCTCCTTGGGAAGTTTGAAAGCTGAAAGATGCAGTCCACATTAAGGTAGATACTGAACAGCAACTGGGCACTGCTCCCTGTCTGCACAGCCTGCAGGGACATCTCCGTTTCCTCTGTTAACCAGAAAGCCATTTGTTGCTTGCTCATTTCCAGTTCCTTGAGCCGTGCTGCACATCTGCAGTGGAGGTGGTGTCACAATGCAAAGTGGTGCTTGCAGAATCATTCCCAGTGTGACTCCATCTCTCCTTACTGCTTAGCTTTCACATGCAGGCTTGTAGTTGCGTTTTTGTTGGAAGGCCTGGCTGGGAATAGCTGTGCATGTGGACAAGCACCTGTATGCTTGTATGTGCATGAGACAGCAGGATAGCTTGTTTCCCAACAAACAGTTTCTAGTCTGCCCTAATTTGAACTTTTGAGATATAACACAACTACTTTTGATATACCAGTGCATTTCAAGTATGGAAAAACTTAGATGCAGAGCATAATCTCAGTTCTTCACAGAATGGGGAAGAATTATCTTAAACCATACAAAACAGGTTCTGATTGAATTGAGTGGCCTCAGACTTAGGATTGCTATTATTACCATCAAAATAGCAGAGCAATGAAAGGAAAGACCCAACCCCCTGGCACACAGGAGCTTTCCAACCCGCTGATTATCTTGACCTGTGACAGGAGAAAATTTAGGACTCTGTTTCTAAATGGTCTCCCTGCTGTATAGTCATTTAGGCCTGAGATTGCCATCTGCTCCTTGGTTCGGCTTACTTACAGTGCCCCAGACTTTACAGTGTCACTAAAAATAAACCAAATCAAGTGCCTCATTCATTCAGACTCCTCTTAGTGCACTCTGTGCAGCTGTTGATGGCTAGAAAGTATATATGGCAATCTGCAGGCTGTAAGGAGCTGTTAGGTTTGTGACAGCGGAAGTGGTGACTGCGAACAGCAATAAACACTGCCCACAGCTTTTCTGGGGGTAAACTAATCCCACTGCTCTCTTTGGTATTAATGTTCATCTTCAAATCTGGAATGATTTTTCACCAATGTGAAAGCGTACTGTGTAATGACAAATGAGTTCTGAGTGTGGCAGGCACAGAATATATTCAAGGGCTGCTGTGTCCCTTCAGAGCCTTGCAGGATTAAATCCAGCAGCTTTCCTTCCACCTCAGCTTTGGAAACAGAGGTTTGTTCATTTGGAGGCTCAGCTTAGATTCATAGACTTTCATCACCATGCCTCCAGAACAATTAACTAACCCAGAAATATGTGTCATTAACAATAAAATAATGATTTATCTGCTTGCAGTGAAACTTTACGCTTTAACAAGTCAAGTTATCAATGGGGAGATGCAGTTCTACGCCAGGGCCAAACACTTCTACCAGGAGGTACCAGCCACAGAAGAGGGCATGATGGGAGACTACATTGAGCTCTCCAATATAGACATTGAATCCTCCAGGGAGTTTCTCAGGAAGTTTGTTGGGGTGAGTCATTTAATCCCATCTTCTGCAAGAGACAGTAGTGATGTGTCATAAATGACATGCAGCATGCCCAGTCACATTTATTTTAAATGGCACCATATGTCATATTTCATATGCATGATGCTCATGTTGTAATTGACTGTGATGGGGCCCAGGAACATACTATTTACATGCATTCTGCCAGGTCATGCATCATCATGAATATACATTTTGCTTGGCTGTATGTTGTTGTTTACCTGTTTTGCATCTTTTCTTACACTCTGAAGCTGCAAAGAGGATTGTGCAAGGATAGCACAAACTTAGCTTGGGTGGGAGATTAATTCTCAGTGTAGTGCTGAGACTTTTCGTTATAAAATCCTTGCTAGCGTCAATGGGAGATTTGTGCAAATTCCTGCATTCCATTTGGGAAAGTGGCTGAGACAAGATGCCAAGGTTCTGTTTTGCCTATTTATAGATATCTATCTTCTGAGAATGCTGCAAGAAAATACAATCCTCTTTCCCCTCTGTGTTAGCAGTATGTAGAATAAGCTACCTGTTAGTAAAAATATGATTTCCTGATTGCTGCAGTATCATCGTTGACCTTTGAAGGCGGATCTTTAAAGGTCTGTAAGAATCTTCAAAGGTTTGCTTTGACTTGAGATGCAAAGAGATGCAAAGTGGGATTTTAGCAGCAATTAAAATAGCAGTTTCTCTTTGGCATTTGGGTTTCTGGAAAACCCATTGATGTCTAAGTGTGTTGTTAGGAATCTTTTTTTTTTTAAAAAAAAAGTTTGGCCCAAAGGTTTTCCAACTTCCTGGGGATAAGAAGCCTGCTGAATTAGCTCAACGACTATGTTAGATGCTAAAGAACCCACAAAGTTACAGGGAACTGAATTTCATAGATTTTCCTACTCGTGAAATTAGAAGTTCTACATGATGCTACCATAAAGCTTTCATTTTCTACTCAAATGTACAAATTTTGCTTAACTAGATGACTTCTTTTTTAGCCTTAATGACCTATTGTGGAAAAAAGCTCAATAAGTTAATGAGATGTTGTGTATAAAAAAAAAAAAAAGAGGCCACAGTTAAATTGGATTTGGATGAAAAATAAGTGTGGTTTAACAACAGATAGAAATCCTGTCTAGCAGTGAAGAGCAACTGATGGCAGAGTTCACTGTGTATGATAGACTGTTGGGACAGTATGCCAGCAAAGCACAATTACCTGAGTGAACAGCGACTTTATTTTTATTCATGGTCTTTTATATTGATGCCTTCACAGCATTTTAAGGCTGTGTCTGTAAGATTTTTGTAAAGCAACTTCACAACATTTCAAGGCCTCACTGTATTCGGTTTCTTACAAAATAAGAAAACAAAGGAAATTCAGAAGATGAACGATAGTAAAGTGGTGATTTCAGTAAAAATGAAACATAACTTGTAAACTTAGAGCCAGCTCCAGGCATATCCCTTAAACTTTACATGCCTTTTTTTAAGGATTTTTGGAATTCACATGGTGGACAAGCCTGTCTTCAGGGAAAGATTTCACGCTTCCTAGACATCATACAGATTCAGTTTCCTGAACAGCGAGTTTATATCACATTGTTAAGCTTTCTCATCTTCAAGACCTGAAAAGGAAAGAAGTACAGTCTGTAGCAGAGTTTCACATGCCAAAGAGGAATCATACCCAATGCATCAGGTGTGATGACAGATACAAAATACTCCAGAGCAGAGCTTCTACTCCTATTATTAGCCAGGGATAGAAAGGATATTCTGAATGGCCAATATCAAACAAGGAAAAAAATATTAGAGAAAGGAATCTGCATGTTTTGCTAATTCTGATTTAGTTTATTCCAGCTTGTCCTCTCTCAAGATACAGTCAATTAGTTGTTTTACTTATGGTTTATTTTCCTTCCTTACTACTGCAACTTGAATCCTACTTGATCAGATATTTACAGGCTTTCTGTAGTAGTGACCTTATTGTATAGCTAATCTGAGCCACATCTTCCCAAGTTTGTCTCTGAATATTTTTTTTTACCAATAACGCAATCAAAGTAGAAGAAAACAATTTGTTGACCCAAACATAAGCTATGCTTTTTTAAAAAAAAGTTTAACAAAATCAGAAAAGGAAATAAGTCTCAGATCAACTGTACATATTTAATTTAGGTTTTTGATTGTTTTGCCCTCTGATTTTTTTTTCCTGTTAAGATATGTCAGTTCCAAAATGAAAAATGCTGTTTAGAAATGAAAAGTTGACAAGTTATTTTTTTTCCTTGAATGCAGTCAAAAAGAAATATCTTAACATTTTCAACATTCTTTCCCATGTTTCTTGGCTAAAACCGTTCTCTAGATTTGAGGTATCAATATCACAGAATTTTCTTCTTCCAAAACTTTTTTTTTGGCAGATCTAGTGCTCCTTAAAAAACAGTTGCCCAGTTCCACTCAAATTACCCTTCAGTTAGTTTGGCTGGTGTGGAAATGCCACACAGTGACATTTCCCTTCCATGACTGATGTTGCATACCTTCGTGTATGGCATTTCTTAACATGTTTTTTAGCACCACTGTAAACTGAGCTACAGATTTCCTTACCGTGGTAGAATTTATCTTGCCTGGGTGTATGGAAGGAATTGCAAAAAGGCAGTAGAAAACTAAGGACTTCACTTATATTTTAGCCTGTCTCCTGCCCAGGCGAGTCAAACTGAGTTAAAAGTACCACTGTGCTCAAGTTAAGAGGTTTTATGTGTGTGTGGGCAGAACTCAAACCAAGAGCAACATTTGAGTTAGAACGTGAGCCAGCAGCGCTATATGGACAAGCTATAGGTTGTCTTTGGTGCAGTCATACTTGAAGGGTTATCAGCAGAGCTATACCATTGCATGTTTATGGCAATGTATTCATGCCAATTCAAGCTCTGATGTCCATACAGACACCATGTTTTCAAGTGCTAATCCAGAGGTAATCTTTTTTTAAAAAAAAAAAAGAAACAAAGAACCATTAATTCAGGAACATTCATGATCTACAGGTGTGTGAAATAGTACAGATGGGGATTACATTGTCCTTACAGTTCTCCTTCTACCCCCAAAAACTGTCTTCCTTTTTGCCCTGTCTTGCCCTTGGTTCAGCTGTCTAATTGGTGACCTGCTGAATGAAAAGTTTCTAGAAAGTGATTTTTCTTCTGTTTGATCAGGGAGATGGAAAAGATTTTGTTCAAAGCCTGATATTTATATAAATAATTTAGAAAGAAAACTGTTTTTTAACTATTTATTGAACTGTGGTTTCTTTGTTTTCCCTTCATATCTATACTGCTTTCCTGCCCTTCCAAGACCTGAAGTAGCACCATCAAAAACATATGCCACAGATCTTTTATACCTAATGAACTTTTCATGAGTGCCTTATTCAGTTCTACAGCAGAACATTTGGGTGTGTACATGTCCTCAATGACAGTGATTCAGAGTAACAGGAAGCATGTAAGCAGAGAAGCAGTCAATCTTAAATTTTGAAGCCTGCTCTGGCTTAAATTTTTCACTTACGCTATTTCTTTAAATAAGAAGTCCAGTTTTCAACTCAATTAGGCTTTTGGGAAAATGATTGCCTTCCAAAGAAAATGTTAATACCCTGTCAAAGCTCCGAGCACTCCCAAACTGAAAATATATTAGCTGAACATGGAATTATGTCAACATTTTCATTGCAAACAGTGCTGTGGTGCTTTGCAGGGCTTCTCGTCTGACTGCCTGGTACTCTTGCTCCCTGTCAGTAAAGTGTGGGATTGAGACTCAGCTCTCATGATTGTTTCCTTTCCTTCCTGATGGTAAATGAAGATGTCATCACACAGGTTTTTGCTGTGACGCATCTCATAGGAGATGAATTCCCAATTTTTGGTAAGGTACTGTGATTATAGGTTCTCTGAAACACAGGTATCAAAGTCAGAGAAGTTGTATGGCTTTTAGACTAATTTTTCTAGCTTTTTTAGTAAACGATTCCTGCTTTCTCAGCAGCATTCTTGAAGCGTTGTAGTTAATTGCATCAACTTAGGTCTATGTGTATCTGCCATCAAACAGTATGGAAATTGACCTTGTAAAGACACAGTTCCTTCTCTTCTCATGAACTCTCTGCTACAGCTTAGTCTGGTCCTCAGTAAAAGCCACACGCTCCTAAGTGCAGCCTGTGAATGAAGAATAGCTCACATTTTCTGGCTAACTACAAACAGGTCGTCTCCAGAGTCCAATAGGGCTGAAGGCTTGTGGACTCTTGCACACATCAGGAGATTAATCTTCTTAGGTATACAAATTGGGACCAGCAGCTCCAGAGGCTGGTGAGAGCCTTTCAGGTCCTTGTGCTCTTTCTACAGTTACTCCATGTAACTGTAGATGTTCAGCTGAGCTATTCATAGTCATGTCACTGACAGTACTGTCCTTTGACCTTAATAATCTACTGAATTACCCACTGAAGCAAGGCCAAAAAAGCAGTGAGTTATATGATTTATGCTTAGTCATTACATGGGTGGGGGGGGGGTGTCTCCAAGTAAGCAGAAAGAGCTAGACTCTTCCTGGACTTACTTCATTTAAGAGCACTGAAGTTGTAGCAGGGACTTTGGCCCATAGGTTTTGCTTCAGCTCTCACTTCCAGGGACAGTGAAAAGCTGTTTACATTTGCTTTTAATATATTTGTTTAACAGATAACTTTGGCCAGGGGAGCTCCAATTCCATGGCCAGTGCCTGTACAGACTTAAATTTTCTGTTTTACACAACAGCAGCACGCTCTTAAGAGCCTTTTTATAGCTAGAATGGAAGCTTTAGGAGTGAAATACAGCTTTCATTATGAAGATCCTTTTACAGTAACTCATTATTTTCTCACAGATGTATCCTTTGTGGCGCAGTTTTTTTCTTGTCTGATCTCTAGGAATAAAAAGAGCAGTTAAGCAAGATGACTGAGTAGATTTTACTTGTCTCTATGTTTAAAGAAGAAATTCTGAATATGCTCCAGTCCAAACTTTTGTGTTATTGTAAGTTAGCTAAGTCTCCAAGATCTTCGTTCAAACACAACTTGTTTTGAAAGTTGTACTCAGATCACAAGGACGCTCTGTCTCTGCAGAGATGTCCATGGTCACGTTATAACTTGTGGAGCACAGAATATCTTTTTCTTGTGTGCAGTGTTTGGTATATGCTTATTCTTTTATTGAGTCTTCACTGGGTTCAGAATTTAATAAGACTGACCCAGTCATGCAGTTAACTGTAAGATAGAAATACATGACCGTTGGAGTTGGAATGACTTTGTGAAGACCAGTGGTTCTTCTGAGAGAGCTAGGAATTTGTGAAATATTCTCTTCTTATATCAAGCAAAAACAGCAATAAATGCAGGGCTGCAATGAAGAAATCCTATCAGCTGCAGCCTTTATGTTTTGCATCTCCAAATAAGTGGTGGCTGCTGGAGATCTGAAGTGCTGGGTGTTGAGGAGGAGAGCTTCGTGCAGACAATGTCAGCTCAGGGGTGGGATAGTGTGTGCCAGCTGGAGCACAAGGGGAGGTTTGTCTTCTCTTACTTACTGGCTTGGATGCTCAGTGTGAGGTTCTGCAGGTCACTGGATTCTGCTCCCAGCTATGGAAGGTAATTATGGAGGAGAAATGCATCCAGACCTTATCTGGGAATGCAGCGTAGCAGCTTAATAGCTATCCTAAGGTGTACTGATAGCGCTCAGAGTTCTCACCAACTGCCCTGAACAAGTAAAGAGACAAGATACTAAGCTTGGTGGACAAAAGGCCATAGCTGGTAACACAGTTGCTGTGATCTTTCAGGTAGTATTTTTTCAGATTTCAAATGATTTTCTTGTGTTTCACAGGGGGCGGGGAAAGCTGGCACCAACCGTGCCCTGGACTGTGGCTCTGGGATAGGTCGGATCAGCAAGCATGTCCTGTTACCAATTTTCAAGAGTGTGGAACTGGTGGATATGATGGAAAATTTCCTGGCTGAGGTCCCGAACTACCTGCAGGGCGAGGAGGACAGAGTAGAAATGTATTATTGCAAAAGCCTCCAGGAATTCACTCCAGCCCCACAAAGATATGATGTCATCTGGATTCAGTGGGTTTCAGGTTAGTTCAGCACAATTCATCCAGCCCAGCATCTCAGAACTACACAGCCTGTGCTGAAGTTACTGTTAGAAGAATGGTGCAGCTGTAAAAAGAGATTATCAAATCTTTGATGCCAGGCCAAGACTGACAAGTGCTGGAAGCACAAGGTTCTGCCTTCATTCACTTCTAGTGCCTGGTCCCATAGCAGCCAGGACAAGCAAGTAGAAAACAAGAGAAAAGAAACTCCTGCAGTACTAAAGCTTTTCTGTGGAGTCAGGCAGTCCCACAGTCCATATCTTCTTAAACTTGTCATGTTTCTCTGTCAGCTCAGGGAAAAAAATAATCTTGCAGTAGATTTCTGGGAGTTCTCCCCAGCCATGTGCACAGTGCGTACAGATCAAGATGGTTTTTTTCCAGGCCATGTACTGGAGGAAGGTACATGTACCAGGAGCAGCTTGCATACTATAGTGTAATGGGGGAGTAGGCTATATATATATATGGGCCTTATATATTGAGCAGGAATCCTCCCTCCCTCATAGCTACCAATATTACGGACAGATAAATTGACCTCATTTGTGTGCAATGATCTATCAACACCTCTGCATTTGGCATGTGGTCGGAGAAAGACTGTAACGCTGTGGCAGTACTGATATGTGAGGATCAAGCTTGCCTACCAGAAAAAAACATGCGTGAGAGAATTGTATGACGTTCATTCCTGGCCTATTGAATATTAGCCAATTCTGGACACACCTTTGCCCATATTTTTCATGAGTCATCAGGTACTCCAGACAGCCACGCAGTCTCACAAGGAAGAAGAGCCCTTTCGAGACATCTTTGCCCCTTTGCAGATAGGGCAGCCCCTGCATTTGGATGCAGGATGAGTGGTAGGGTTGTTTTTGTTTTGTTTTTTTTGCTTACAAGATTGACTGTACCTGCATTTAAGGATATTTTCCTTTGGTTCTTTGCCAGAAGTCACTTTCCACCCACGATTCACCACTTCTGCATTGTAGATTGGCATCCTGTTGGACATTTCCTGCAAAGATCTTGTGGGAATCCCTGGCATGTCATATACCCCTTGCACATAGAACCCATTAGGCTAAGTGCCCCTTCAGGGATATCCCCTTTAGTCCTTTCTTAGCCTCTGCCAGTGAGTGTCCCTCCTTCATACCGATGTTCTCAGGGGTATTTCTGAATCTTATGATAGTTTACTGAGACTTGGGAAAATTTCAGGAAATAAGCTGTGAAAAAAGCATGGTGAAATCATCAAAACCTATCAGCAGATGACTGTGTCTGTTGCATACACTAATACTCATCAAATTGGTTCATTTAGCTATGTCCCAAAGCAACTCCTTCCCAAATAACAAATGTGTCCTCTCCTGCAGTCACTCAGTGAATGCACTGCAGCACTAAGAGCAGCAGACAGGCAATTAGACAATATGGGCTCTGTTCCTTGTTCCAATTTTTTTTTCCCTCCTACTTAAAGCAATGGTATGAGAATTAATTACTTTTGTGAAGTGTGCAGTGATCCTTGCGTGAGAAGTGTTGTAAGGCTGTAAGTGAACAGAATATTCGTACAGCTACAGGAGAAGTGAATTGAAGGTGACCTGAAAAGTCAATTTTTCATTCTCCTGTCTCAATCAGTCAGAAATACCATTTTTAGTAGATATTTTCCATGCTGTTTTTTAAAACCTTTACTGCTGCAGTGTCCCTTGTGCAGTTTCAGTGGGCAGGACTCATTATTCTAAAGCACAAGAGAAGGCTTGAACAACTCCATGTCAAAACACTGGGAATGCCTTCTTGCTGGGCAAAGGCAGAAAGATTAGTACGGGAGATCTTAGGAGCAGTTACTTGTCCTTTATACATAGTCTTAAAAGGTAATGAGATTGGTCTTAGAATAGGCTGTTCCTCTATAGCTATACAAGCAAGTTGCTTCAGAACAGTATCATTTCCCTTTGTTCTTGTTCTTTTTGAATAGTCAATCATTTCTCTCATCTCATGAACAAACCCATGGCAATGTGAGACAGAATGAATGAAGGCTTGTCTGGATTTGTGCTTATTACTTTTGTGTTATCAATGGCAGAAGCAGCATATGCCTTTTGTCGAGTAGAATCTCCTTCCACCTTTCAGCCATCAATTGCTGTGACCTAGATAGTGATCTCAAGTATTAACCAAGCTTCTACCACTACCTTGAATTTGGATGAAAAATGCCAACAAGCTCAACGCTTCTTGGTAGAATGGAGCAGGACTAACTGGCAGTTAGCAATGCAAGGAAGATCATGTCATTTTTTGAGGAGGAAACTGGGCTAAAAACTAGGTTAAGAGCAACCAAATGCTTCAAAGAATCTAGCCCGTGCAATCTTGATTTGTTTCACATATACATAATTAAATCAGCTCAGACTCTTTCTTTTCGAAGAAATAAAAATGAAACTTTAAATTTCAAACTGAAATTGCAGTTTTCCTACAGTTTGGAAGGTATTCAGTTTTTGGTTCTGAGTCTTTTTTTTCTTTAGTGAGAGGGAAGTAGTTAAAAAAAAAAAAAACACAACTGACAAGCTATATCAAAATGTGGTTTTGAAATGACAGCTTGCATTTATAAAAGTTTAGATCTACCATGAAGAAAATTAAATATTTTGACTAGAAATTACAAGCAACTTTTTTGAGTTTTTCATTCAGTTTTTGACTACCTGCCCTTGTTAATTCATTTTAAATAGGTTTCATATGTGGGTTCTCATTTTGTTCTTCTCTGAGCCCCACTCTCTTGATGTTAACAGAATTATTGATCTTTGAGAAGGAATAACAGAAAGCACAATCTCAATAATGTATTAAAAGTTACTGTATTTAAATACATATATGGTATATGCAGAAATCAGAACAGTATGGAGTAATACAGAGTTTATTTGGCAATTTGGTTGTAATCCACAGCTGCTTTGGTGGATGTATATAGAAATTTGTAGCATAAAAATCCAGAAGCAATTGTTAGATTATCTAATTTGACCTATTCTGTATCACTTGCTGTTATATTCCATTGTTTTATGCTTGTACTGAATGGTTTGTGTTCAATTAAAACTTTATCTTGAGGAAGTCAGTCGCACTAGATTTGAGAACTTCAAGAGGTGGTAAGTCCTCCACTTCTGTTGGTTGCTTCCGATCGGTAGTTTCTTGCACTGTTAAAACATTTCTCTTATTTCCAGTTTGAATTTGTTTGGTCCCAGCTTCCTGCCAGTGATTCTTATTATGATTTTTAACCACCAGATTAAAGAACCCTTCAGCACCCACTATTTTCTCCACTATTCCCATTGACTTCTGTCCACATCTGTTGCTGCTATGAATATGATCACAAATATCGATTTGAGTTTGTAACTGATGGTCTTATTGATTTGCTCAGGTTTTCATTCTGAAATCTGGCAGTTCTAGAAGTATCCCAGCAATAAAAGGGATATGGAGAATCAAATCAAGGCACCGTTATGATATGTTCAGAAGGAGTCTGTATGAATGGTTAATAGTGATCTACTTTCCATCTTTTCACCTGTAGGATGTCTGACAGATAAAGATCTCCTGAAGTTTCTCATCCGGTGCCAGAAAGGCTTGAAGGATAATGGTGTTATCATTCTCAAGGACAATGTAGCAAGGGAGGGCTGTATCCTGGATTGTCTGGACAGTAGTGTGATCCGAGACCTGAACATCCTCCGCAGCCTCATTGAAATGAGTGGACTCATCATCCTGCAAGAGGAGAGGCAGGAGGGATTCCCTGAGCAATGTGTCCCTGTCTGGATGTTGGCCATGCAGAAACGCCCTGCCCATTCCTGATTGCATAATGGCAGCAAAGACTGGACTGATTGCATAATGGCAGCAAAGGCTGGACTACGGATGAATGACAGGGCTGGGGAGGACAAAGGGGAAGAAAAGCACCTGCTAGAATACTACTACCTATGTACTGCTACCACTGTAATTCTAAGGCAGCAACTTCTGAAGGATCCAGAGAGAATTACAATTGAGCCAGCTTCTCCAGGCAGTAGTCTGCTTCTAAATCCTGCCTGCTTCACCATTTTTAAAAGACTTTCCGACAACTCCTTGTCAGATTTCTCTTTCATTCAAGAGCCAATACTACAACAAAACTCAAACTAAGTAGAAAATAATTAGGTCTGAAGTTTCTGTAGTGGCTTATATGTTTTAGAGTGCTTTGTATGAGGGGTTAACAAATAAGCCTGTTTTTCACTGGCAACTATATTTTCCTGGAAGTTAAATGAATCTGTCAGATCACTGAAGCAAAATATTCAAATAACTTCTGGAAGACCTAACCTACCTTGCTTATGTTTCTGCTGTATAACAATAGTGGTGCATAAGGATATTCACGCTCCAGGGAAAAGATTATATGACATATAAGCATGTTTGCTTTGAAAATTTGTGCAAAGATTGCCCCACAATCCACTTTCTGGAAAATGTTTATTCAAAATGTTCACAGTGGAAACCACTTGAAAGCATCTCTTTATTATTCATACCACTGTAAATTTCTTTCTTTCCCACATTCAGAACAAATCTGGCACCATATGCAGAGCTAATGGGATTTCATGGGGTGTTAATAGTTAGTATGCAAAAAAGAACTAATACAGTATTGTATTAATTAACAACTGTACTAAATTGCAGAGGGTGTTAGTAACCCAAAAGCATCTATGATTTATATCCAAACAACAGCTGTATAAGCCTGGATTTGACAATGCTAACACACATACCGTCGTCTTAGAGCTCACAGAAATTACACATTGAGCTTCTTGTCCCTTTCATACAGGCACAGAAAGTACTGTGGGAGGACAGAGTTCCTTTTGCAAAGATTTTCAGAATTTGATATTCTGCTTCATTCTGAATGAGTGCAAGAAGAGACAATTTTGGTTTTTGTTTGAAAATAGTCAGAAATAGTCCTAATTAGAAATATGGACAAAATTAAATATTCCCATTGAGTTAAACTTCTAAAATAATTCAGATTTTAAATGTTTGTTATTATAATGCAGCAAAAAATGTAAATGAAATATGGCTTATTCAAAATGGAAGAATGGACTGTTCTGACTCTTTCAGAATTTTTGTCTTGTTTTATTCACCTGCAATTCTGGAACAACTTACTGGGCTTTTTTAAAAATTGCGTTATGACAAACATCCATGTTCAGATGGAAAAGGTTCTACAAAACATCTTCCACGTGGCTGTATGCATAATTATCTTTGTCAAATATCATCATCTGTGTTAAATGAACTCACGTAGAAGCCCAAAGACAACAAGGGACAACATGGAACTTGTCAGTTGGATTGTGTAGCTCATCTTCTCTAGCAATATGAATGCACATGTTGAGAATTTCCAATTTATGGCATAGGGCTTCCTGCTGTCAAATCTTATCCAGTAATTGTGTTGTTTTTTTTTTTTAATGTGCCATCACTAATTGTAGCATTAAGTAAAAACAACTCTGGTGATTGTTGAACAGAATGGCATGTCATATAACATAGGAATCTATGGCTCCCACGATGCAGATTCTTCTGGAATGTCTTGGCTAATTCTTCCATTTGAATCAAGTGGTAATGATTGCAAATGTAACATACGATGCTAAAAACACTAGGTGAAAATTTTTGTTCTGGAATTGGAATAAGGGCTTTTAATTCCCATTAAACCACTACAATTCTTTCATTCCATTTTAGCACCAGTTAAAAGCTGGTGCGATCATTGGGTGAATACAAATATGTGCAGAAATTTGAAGGAAAACCAGTCATTTGTTTTACAGGAAAGAAGCATCAGTCCTACAGTTAGCTATACTCATTAGCAATAACAGACAAATATTTAAAAGATCTAGACATGCATTACAAATTAATTGGTTCTACATCATTTTTTCTTCCAGCCAGAAACTTCTGCCATGGTGCAGAATACCCGGGAACTACTGGAAATCCTCATGTCTGTGCCAGGCTTATCTGAATGATGTTGGTCACTTCAATGACAAGAGAACAGCATTGTGGAAATAGGGAGGTAAAGAATTTTATACAACTCTAAATTGTAGCTGCCAGCTGTTATTGTGCAGAATACATCAGCTGTTCACTTACACATCAGAGGAGTGCTGTCCTAAGATGGATACCACATAAAAAGTGGTTAGAACAAGAGATAGAATATGAATGTATGGTATCACTATCAGTGAAATAGATTTTTCAAAGTAAAAAAGTTCTTACTGTATTTTGTACATCTCTCCTATTTTAATTTCTAGACTATATGTGCACAAACATGTAATGAAAATTAGTTATTTTAACTATGTTAATAGTGAATGGAGAACGGAGCCAAGTAAAGTCTTAACTTAGTAGAAAAAAGCATATTTCATGGTTACCACATTCCAGAAAATTAATGTTTCATGGCTATGTTGCTTCCACAGTAAAATATTAAAGCTTTTCTGGTGACATAATGAACCTCAAGAGTAAAGAAACACAAGCCCCCCAGGGGCACAGATGCATGGGATTGCTTGTGACAGAATAATATTTTGTTTTCCTCCTTTTCCAAGTATATTTTAATTCAAAAATTCACAGCTAACCGCTGTAGGCGGTGTTACACTCTTAAAAAGTTCATGAATTTGGGTAAGGGCCATTCTTGGTTTAAAAGTTCTGGCCTCTCTGGATTTTACTGTAGAATGTAATAATAATAATAATGAATCACAAATTTCAAAGCTTGCTTAGAAACCATCCATGCATCGGTTGCTCTTTGGTGTTCAAACACTGGATAAGAACTCAGTTGCTCTGCCTTAACTTCCAGTTTATTTAAAACATGCATTTAAATCTTTAGCTTATCAGTTTGCAGTGGGAGTTTGAATCCCATTTGTTTGGTGTTCATTCAAGTACTTGCTCCTGATCTCAACAGGAAGAGGAATTTAATCCAATATCAGTACCCTAGCTGAAGCGAGTTTCACAGAACACTCAGGATTCTGCAAGCTCACACCATAGTTCACCACTGATGGGTAATTAATGAATTAACAAGTTAGTCATTCAGTCAGATATTACTCCCAGGCAAACTACTTGAGCAGTCTCTTAGCTAAGGCACGCTAAAGCTTACTTCTGCCATGCCACTGCCAAAACTCTTCATAATGTCAGGTTGTTCCATATCAGGACTGATGCTTATTTTCTGCATGACTGAAAGCCAGTGTCATTTAATGTATGAATGAGAAAAGCAATGTAAGGAACGGGAGGTTCCTTGCCAGAGAGATCCCTTAGCCCTGACAGTAGTCCTTACATGCTGCTGGAACCAAAACAAAATAAAGAATCAATCGTTACAGCAGTCTGAACAGCAATCCCAACTGTGCAGCTCCTGCAACCATTGCAGCTCAAGCTATTCGTGTTCAGAAAGTGACTCAGACATTACAAATGTCTTTTCATTTCTGATTGGAAGGGAGAGCCATTGTTTTGAAACGTACCACTGAATGGATATTCTAAAATATCTCATTTCAGAAATACTGAAATGACCATATCAAAATTTTTAGTTTGAATTTCTTGTTTGGATATTAATATAATTTAACAACTTAAAGGTTATGTGAGATGATATTTTAAATAATATACACGATACAGCATTGTAAAAGTTGAAGTGGAATATTAGTTTCCTACAAAATAATAAATTCCATACATTTCCTGGCCCCAAATTTAGTGAAACAAGACAGCAGTTTCCAGAGGAAAGTAATTTCAAGAACTGTCTTGTCAGGAAGTATTTGCCCAAGCTGTTTCTTTTCAGATGTATTGCATTGGTTCAGGCATCTTCCCTGTGCCTGGCTGAGGGAGTAGCCACCTTGGGCTCTTTGATGGGCAGGAAAAAAAAAAGGCATCTCCAGAGCAATTCAGACCAGCTCAGAGTGAACTGGCTTGAAGTGAGAGAGTACCCTCTCTCCTCAGTGGCTGTAGGAATGAAAGTGCATCGTTATAACTGATTTAGTAACCTCTTTACTAATGGTAAGCAGAAGTGCAGTGTGACCTGAGAAGCTGTGACTGTTGCAACCAGCAAAGAGCATGGGCACGGATATTGAAACACACATTAAAAATCAATCGTGGTACTGGAGCACAACATTAATGTGAGGAGTATTATCATACTACTACATCAGTTGACATAGTGCCAAACAATAAAAGATTTATCAGTTACACCTTAAAGTGCCCTGAGCACCTTTATACCATTCCCTTGTTTGTCTTCCATTCTGTTAATCCAGATCCCCAGAGTATTTTGAATGGCATATCAGACAGTGGGCCTGGCCAGAGGAACTTGACTGCTAAATCAGTTAAATTCAGTTAAATTCAGTTGTCTTGCATCCCATTCTTCTTTTCTTTTGATGCTTCTTCTAATTTGCTGAGACATTCCTCCTCCCCTTGCCAAAAATGATTTGTTCTCTATGGACATCTTACATCTCACTGAAATAAAATGGATTATCTTTGATTTTAAGAGGAGGTAATTCTGTTTATCTGAGAGTAATAACAACAAGCTGTATGTCAAGTATGGGAGTTAATACCCATCTTTTTCAGTTGATGTCAAGTAGGCACTCCCAGACCTTTATACCAAACAAAGTTCACATTCTCATCATCACCATAAATAATAACAGTATTTGAATGACACTGTACATCCCATATGTTATCACTGTGACTTGGACAAGGAAACTGAGGCACAGAAGAGTGATCTGGGCTGCATTACAGTTCTGTATAAGTGGGAGCTGTGAGTGATTAACACCTCCATGAATTAGGCCACTACAGGAACTACGGCGTGTTTTGCAGGCAGACATAAACTTATTCTGTTTGTGCTCAGAGCAGATTGAAACAGTGTGGCTGTGGTTACCCTGCTTACTAGGCCAAGCTGGTACGTCCTGCAAAGAGAGGACTCAGGCTGAACATTGTGCTCATGAACATGTACAGCTTCTGATCTTGTTAAAGCATCAGTACAACCTGGTGTACACCTGCAGCAAAAATAAAGACAGAAAATTGGTGGAGCATCTCTCTTCCATATCTCTCCTTTCAAGAAATGTTGGATTTGCAGGCTTTTTAACTGGTATTCTCAAGTTCCTGAGACTAAGGTTTTTAGAGATATTTGAAGAAATCTTACAAGTGCACTTAATGAACCCTTGCTGGTCAGAGGATTCCTATAGGTCTCTGAAGATCTGGCTTCTAAGAACCTAAGCTTCACTCAAGACTAAGCTTACAGAATTATCTGGGAGACCAGATTTGAAAGCCCTTAAGTGCTTATAAGCAGACACAGGAAGATATGTATGTGTGTGTACACACACGGTTAACACTTTTGCAGATGTGCTGCATACATGTGGAACAGACAGCTTGTATTCGCTAAGGTGACCTGTGGTCTTGAAATATATGTGGCTTGTCAGCTTTTAATGGATCATCAGCTGCAGAAGAATGATGACTGTTGTGTAATCTGGATCTTCCACCACACAAATAAATAGTCCAGCAGGTTTGCCAAGAACATTTCCAGATCAGCATTGGATGCCATTTGCTGAACTTGGCTCCATCCCAACACTCTGTGGGAGGATCTCCTGAGGGACACCTAGCATGTCCTGCTTCCATGCGGGGCTACCCTAGTGTCTCTGAAGTACAATGCCTGTATCTTATGCCTCTTGATCATGAAGATTTGTGATGTGGTACATAGGATCAGCTAAAATAACCTAATGACCTTGGGGCTTCCTTCTCAATTCCTTCAATTCTGTGATTCTGTGATTCTCCATGGCTGCAAGTAATCACAGGCACAACATGGGTGAGAGGCTTCGCACCTAATTCGGACATCTAAGAGACATTTTAAGGTTATTGTCAAAACTTCCCATTACAGTCACTGACGAGAGATCAGCTCTACCAAAAACCTTCTACATGGTTATCCTATGTACTGAACTTTACTAGGAGCCTACATGCTCCTTAGGTTCTGACAAGTCACAGAATCACAGAATGGCCAGGGTTGGAAGGGACCTCAAGGATCATGAATCTCCAATCCCCCTGCCACATGC